TTAAGAAGCCTTTGTTTTTGTGAAGCATTTCCATCACCTTGCCCATGAGCCATTTATTAGCACCTTAGCTATGGCATACCTAATTCATGTTCTTTATTTTGTGTGCCTTTGATAACTTGAGAAAGAAAACATGGGCCATTCTGAGAAGCAGGTAGTCTTGGAGGGAAGAAAATACTGATCTGAAGTGATGCAGTACCTGAAAGGTTTTATTCAAAACAATCATACTTCCACTCTTTTCTAGTTTAAAAGATGAACAGGAGACAAATTAAATTCCATCCAGCACTTTCAGCTGCAGACCAGAGCTTTTCACATGACAGAATGGCACGAACTCTGAATTCCCATCTCCTGGCCCAAAGTTCCAGTCCTTATGGACTTCTTTGACTCTCATCAATTTTGGTGTACTGCGAGAGCCTGGAGTGTTTTTCTTTCATAGAATTGCTAAGATTGAAAAATGAATCTCTTAGAAACTTAGAAAATGCTAAAATGAACATTGCTGCTGTGGATTTAATTCCTCTGTTCTTTCTTACATGTTACATATTTCTTTAATACATATTAGTATGCTTTATTTTCTATAGTAACGGTGCTTCATTAATGATACATTTGGATGAAGTTAGTGAATGAAACTGTTCTATATTCATCTCTTGCTATCACATTCCAGCATATGGCCCATGCCTTATTCAGCAAGCATCATGTAATTGTTGCTGGATGAGGCCAAAAAGTAGCATGTGACTATGTGATGGGAAGAACATCCTGTGAGACACGTTCACAGGGAACAGCAGCTAAGATGTCAAAGATGATTTTACCAGGGGTATTTCCATTCTTGGTGTTGTAACAATGCGATTCTTTTATAACACGGCTTTTTGTGGAATTTTGCACATTTGCTGGATTGTTTTCAGGAAAGCAGAAGGATAAAACTCCATTTGTGCACTTTTTCACCAGTTAACACAAGAAGTCTCTTTGTTTAATAAAACCATGCACCACATGGGTTTTATTATTTTTTGAATGTGTTCATGGGGGATGCCCTGCCCTATTTCAAATGCAAATGCACAGTATTGAGCCTCTTCCACTGTCATCTTTACAGTCTTCATGCCAACATCCATGCACTGATTTCATCAATCTAGTGGTAAAAAAGAGTGACCTAGCCAGTCACTCCTGTTGGGAGAAATTTGCAATGTCAAGAAGCCAGCATAGTCTCTTCCCACACCTATTATCAGTCCTTGTTCAGCCTACAACGTACTCAGGACGATGTACACACTAGTGAATTAAACAGCAACAGGAATTTCCATGTCTGGGAATTGTAGTGTTGTGTTACCAGAACTGATGGGTTATACAACTACGTTAGCAGAAAGGTGCTGAGAATGCCTTTAGCCCATGGCAAGGAGCTATCTCCCCAACTTAGTATTACTTGAAAGTTGGCACAAGCCAGGGACCAGTCCCAATGTGGTGCTCGAGGACATGGTTTAGTGGTGGACTTGGCAGTGCTAGGTTAACGGTTGGATTCGATGATCTTAAGGGTCTTTTCCAACCGTAACGATTCTATGATTCTATAACTCACACAACTGGAGTGCTACAATGGATGGCTACAAGCTCTTTAGAAGGGACAGGCAAGGAAGGAGAGGTGGTGGGGTAGCCTTGCACGTTAGAGAGTGTTTTGACTGTCTAGAGCTCAATGAAGGTAATGATAAGGTTGAGTGCTTATGGGTAAAGATCAGGGGGAAGGCTAAAAAAGTAGATATCCTGGCGGGAGTCTGTTATAGACCACCCAACCAGGATGAAGAAACAGATGAAGCATTCTACAAGTGGTTGGCTGAAGTCTCCCAATCTCTAGCCCTTGTTCTCGTGGGAGACTTCAACTTACCTGATATCTGCTGGAAATACAACACAGCAGAGAGAAAGCAGTCTCGGAGGTTCCTGGAGTGTGTGGAAGATAACTGCCTGACACAGCTGGTAAGCGCGACCATGAAATGATAGAGTTTTTGATTCTTGGAGAAGTAAGGAAGGTGGTCAGCAAAACCACTACCCTTTAGAAAGGCAGACTTTGGATTGTTTAGGAGTCTGGTTGAGAAAGTCCCTTGGGAGGCAGTCCTGAAGGGCAAAGGAGTCCAGGAAGGCTGGACATTCTTCAAGAAGGAAGTCTTAAAGCCACAGGAGCAGGCCGTCCCCGTGTGCTGAAAGATGAGCAGGCAGGGAAGACCGTCCTGGCTCAACAGAGAGCTTTGGCTGGAACTCAGGAAAAAAAAGAGAGCTTACGGCCTTTGGAAGAAGGGGCAGGTGACTCAGGGGGACTACAGGGATGTTGTGAGGTTATGCAGGGAGAAAATTAGAAAGGCAAAAGCCCAGCTAGAACTTAAACTGGCCACCACTGTTAAAGATAACATGAAAAGTTTTTACAAATATATCAGCAACAAAAGGAGGGCCAGGGAGAATCTCCCTCCTTTATTGGATGCAGAGGGAAACATCATTACAAAGGATGAGGAGAAGGCTGAGGTACTTAGTGCCTTCTTTGCCTCAGCATTTAATAGTCAGACTGGTCATCCTCGGGGTTTTCAGGCCCCTGAGCTGGGAGATGGAGATAGGATGCAGAATGAAGCCCCAGTTGTCGAAGAGGTGGCAGTCACCGACCTGCTCCTCCACCTGGATGCCCACAAGTCCACGGGGCCAGATGGGATCCACCCGAGGATACTGAGGGAGCTGGCACAGGAGCTTGCCAAGCCACTTTCTATCATTTATCAGCAGTCCTGGTCAACCGGAGAGGTCCCAGATGACTGGATGTTAGCAAACGTGACGCCCCTCTACAAGAAGGGTCAGATGGAGCATCTGGGGAATTACAGGCCTGTCAGCCTGACCTCGGTGCCGGGGAAGGTCATGGAGCAGATCATCTTGAGTGCCATTAAATGGCACACGCGGGACAACCGGGGGATCAGGCCCAGCCAGCATGGGTTTATGAAAGGGTGGTCCTTCTTCACTAACCTGGTCTCCTTCTATGACAAGGTGACCTGCTTAGTGGATGAGGGGAAGGCTGTGGATGTTGTTGGGAGGATATTAAGAATATATCTCCATTGTCTCCAAAGGGTAAGGTCCTTGGGAAGTATAGATATGAACAAACCCGTATAGTTTTATGAGTATTAAACTTTATTAGGTAAATGTATGTGTTACAAAGTAAGCAAACATTCCTAACACAACAAGAAATACTTTTTTAAAGAGTTTTCCTACTGTGAACATTAGCTCATGATGCCATATATCTCATACAACTTGTGCTCTTATTCCAAAAGAATAACATTATGTGATTACCTGGTGGGTGGGTTTTAGTTTGAAGGCATGTCAGAATTTTACTAAAATGCTTATTAAAATAACATGGTCTCAGGTTTTGGAAACCTGTGTGGTGCAAACCTGACCAAAATTCATAAAGAAACAATAAAACTCATCGAATGACAGTTCATTAAAGCTAATATTTTCAGTGGTTGATGCATAAAACTAAAAAATCACAAGTCATAATCATTAAGTAACAACATGCATTTTTCATCTTAAGATGTGATTTACTAGGAATGTGTACAAGGACGTACACATTCATAGAGCAAATTTTGATTCACTTGCTCTATTGTCATGCTACTGTTATCTGTATCCAGTATAAAAGAATTTCAAATAAATGTTTTCCTATCCCCACCTGCTTGTTATACATTAACAGCAGGTAATATCTGGTTAAAATGTAATGTCTGTTAAAATGTAATTTATATTTCGTTAGCTTGTGTGTGGAGAGCCAGAATGTGCAGAAGATACATTCAAACTTCAGTGTTGTCTTAGTATATTTGGTGCTGATTCCCATGAAAAGAAAATAGCTAGGCAGGATTTCAGGTACCCAAATTTTGAAAAGCTGGTCGTTAATATTAACGCTGAAGAATGGCCCAGTTTACTGTGACCAGAACTTCTGAGCCAGTCAACGTTTGCTTTCACCAGTTCAATATTGAACTGAGTTAGGTGCTGCTTTGCCAGGCTGCAATGCCTTTTCCTGAAATAACTGGTTCTGGGAAGGCTGGTAGGAAAATTGTATCCACAACTTCACTGTTAAGTAAATATGCAATATTAAAAGGTACATCCTTCTAAAAGATCTCCAGACTCCACAAAGCGTGCGTTCCTCTGTTTGTGCTTTTGGCATATCCCAACGTGTCCAGCTTATATGCCTCTGCTGTGACACTGAACCTGTGTTGAGTTACATCAGGTTTTAACAGTTTGAAGGCTAGGAAGAAACATTACAGTTCCCCTGTCTGATCCCCATTACACTGCAGGCTAAATTACCTTACCTTTAAGCTGCTACTAAGGCAAGAATTACTACCACTCTTTTTTTTAAGAGAGAGAGAGCATAAATATGTACTAAAAATCAATGAAAAATGACATCAGATACATCTTCAGAGGTTTTAGATTGGAATGCAATAAACCTGAATCCTTGACATTTTTATTTTCACATTTTTTTCTTCTATTTGTAAAGCTCATTCTAGTCCAGTAAAAACATCTTCCTTTAAATCTGCTCTCAGCTGAGCCTACTTATAATCCATTCAGGCCTGTTTCCATGACGCAAACTTAAATGAACATGTAGTAAGAACTGAATAAATGAACAGAAAAACATTAATCAATTGTTCAATTCCTGACATATACTTCACTAAAGTATATTTACTGACAAAATTGACTTTACTGCGCAAACTGCTCTCTGAATTATTTAAACTCCTTTTTCTTTGTTTTTCAGTCACTTTGGAGAAGAGAGCAATAGCAACATTTAATGATTCACTAGATATAACCCAGGTGACAATACATCTTCTGTGAATCTGTAAGTGTGTCAACTACCCAATGTATTTAGCTCATCTTTGATACACAAATAGCAACACATTGCATGAAAACAAGCCTTGTTGATCTTTCAATGTTGTAATGCTATCCCACAGTACAGAGAAAAATACCAGTACCAAAAAAGAAGTTTCCTCAGATAAGCACCTATTGTGTTGTTTCTTTTTCTACTTGGTTTCAAAAAGAAGAAACCCAGCAAAGGTAGAGAAGCGTTGATGGTCCCCATGGAGGGCTCCATTTCCCATTCGCAGCCAAACTTCATCGCCCTTGGCAAGTTTTAGCACTGCACTGTTTCCTGAAGTGTCTGCTTTCCCTTTTGATTCATAGCTAAGGATGAAGATTTTAACAAGTCAGATTTTTGTTTCTCAAAAATGATCAAGCAAACAACTTAAAAAAAAAAGAATCCAAGAAAGCACATTTTTATCCTGAGCAAAACTTCCTTGAAAGGCTTGCCAACATTTTTTCAGCTTTATAAGGAAATTTTGGCATCTTTCTGCATTTGATCTCCTAGTCAAATTTTGCACCTTACCTAATTGCATCATTTCATTCCTTTCTGAAATTCTGTACGTTTAACTTACGTATTTTTTTACAGGGCACAGGAACAAAGTAGTTGTTTAAAATAAACCCCTGCTCATTCATCACAGCACTCCAGGTTTCCTGTGTTGCTCTTTTTCCCTTGGATTCATCCCAGCTAATTTTAAATGCCTCCAGGTCAGGAGTCTCATGTGAGCTGAGCCCCTGTGCTCCCAGCACAGGCAGTGGGCAGTAACAGGCAGCTCACTCCATCCTGAGGCCTTTCGTTGGAACATAGATACGTTTATTGTGGGCTAACCTGCTGGCTTTGCGTGAGTGTTGGTTCCCTTTCTTCCACCTGTTGCCTTTTCTGACATCAGTGCTTCAGGGGAAAAAAATTGGGCACTTTTTCTTTTTCAGGAAAGATCTATCAGGAATGAAGCACCCTTTGGTGGTGCTTCAGGTACTGGCTGTTGAAGAAACCTTGACAGCTTAAATGAGCGTGCTATCATCCAAGTGCCTAAAATCCAGTGTGATCAATCTAAGCTTTTGTGTCTGTTTTATTCAGGCTCAGGAGAGAAGCTTGGTTTTGGCATCAAACTCCTGGTTGGTATTAAAGAAGTAATAGTTTTTTCCAAACACATTTTTTTTTTTTCAGATGTCCATCTGGCTACAAGCTTCTTGACCTGGTCCTTATAGAAGTTGATAAGCTAGAAGTGAATCCTATTCTTGATGATCCTCCAGCTAACATAAAGAGTTCAGAAACTTTTTATTCCAAGTGTGCTAATGATAGCAAAGCCAGTAAATGGTGGACCTTTGCTTCTTACTCATCCTTACTACTGCCATTTAAATACTCTCCACCTCTAGAGTAAATTGCTCTTCCCTAATCTTTACAAGGCTGTTACCAATCTGACAGGCAAAATGAGGATGAAGATACATTTTAGCAGAGTGACATTTTAGCAGAATTACCACTGGACTCCAACCCTGACTTGCACTGCTAATTCCTTTCCCCTGAGCTTTGAGGAACTTGTGATCAAGGCTGAATTTTAGGTCCAGGATCTGTGGCAGGTATGATCCAAATTTGCAAGTTGAGGAGGTCAAAATACAATAGTTTTTTGTTGTTGGTTATTTTCCCCTACAGAATTTTCTTCAAAAAATGAACAATTTCATGTTTCTTGAAATGTGAGCAGGCTATCACATCTGTGCAAACATGTCTTTTGCATTAAAATGGCCAGGCCTTTCACTTACCTATATAAGCTGAAAACTGTATTACCATTATGCATCAGGTATACATACACTTCCTCCACATCTTCATGTTTCATCATATTGAAGGTGAAGAAATACACCCCTGAAAAGATCACCAAATACGACACGTTTGCTTCATAGAGGGAGGTAGTCATGCTACAGACTTGTGCTTCTTGCTTAAACATAGCAGCTGAGGCCAAAATTACCTTCCAGTTGGCAGTTGGTAACTTGCTTCTGCTTACAGCTTGCCAAAATCTGATTAATTTTTATTCTGCATATGGCAGGGTTTCAGCCACATCCTGTTCCAGAGAAATGACTGTATTTGAACATGGCAGGACCACTCATCCCTTCCTTCTCAGTGAAAGGGAAATTTCCCAGAGGCTGAGTCTAGTGACCCCTCTCTCACTTTTTTTTTTTTCCTTATCTTCTTGCTCCTGCCCTCTCCCAAAAGTGCAGCCTCCAGGCCAGCCAGGCCTCAGCCTCAGAGGCTGTCAGCCAGCCAGCATGTCGCCCAGGTCAGGCAGGGCATGAGTGGTTTTAGCAGCGGCTCACCTGGTCCCACTGCATCCTGAACAATGCAGACATGGTCACCACTTTCTCTGCTTGCACAACACACCCTTACCATCACCCTTTTTCTTTTTAGCTCTTTTTCTGTCTGAAAGGTCCCAACAATGTTGTCAGTGCAACCATGTTATGGGTCATGAGCTCTGCAAGACTCCCTTAGGGGGGGAAGACAAGCTCCTGGCTCCTGAACAGTAAGTCTGTAGCATTGGCTCTGCAATGGGAGCTTGGAGTTTGCATCGAAGTCATTAAATCATTGTGGGTCAAAGTTTATTGACATCCACATATTTATTAACCTCAAAAGGAAGCAGCTGTGAGGACACACACCCCTAACTGTCAGTAAAAGATGTGCTACAGCAAGCTTGGAAGGCCTAACTTTTATTTAACTTAATATCGTTTCCCATAGCAGTGAGTAAATGAATAGCAGGGTGAGAAAGGCCAAGCGAAGGAAAGTGATTTCAGGCTTTGCTTAGACATGTTTTTGGTTATGGCCTTCCCTCCCCCATCTCCTATTGTTCTTCCTGCGCCACAGCTGCGTAAGATTGAGGATTGATGCAGCTGAAAAATAACTCAGGAAAAACTGTAACGCCTCATTTCCAGCCACACATCTGTTGCAGGCCAGCTCACGGCTGAACTGGCATGAGGGAAGATGGGGATGAAGAGAGTGACTGGAGGCAGGAGGTGGAAGAGGCAACTGTGAAGCTGCTGCTGCTGCCACATCAAGGCCATGGTTATCTCATCAGAGTGGCTGAAGGGCTAAAGGTCTCAAAGCAGATGGTCTTGCTCCCTCCCTGGCTCTGGCCATGCCTCTTCCTTCTGCCTTTGTGCCAGCAATAGTCTCACTGGCTGGCAAGCCCTCTCTTTGCTTGCTCAGTTTCTAGTTTCATTTTTTCTGAAAGTAGGTAGCAAGAGCTATGCAGAGCGAGTCTCATCAGTGCCTTGTGCAAAGGTAGTTAACTAGTTTCTCATCACTATTAACCACGCTTCTCCCTATAGCTCCCAGAATTGCATTATTTTGTTTTGCAAACACTCACCGTTCACTGGAGCACCAAATCTCCCAGTCATGACATCAAAAAAATTCCCAACGTTGGTTTCAACACTACTGAAGATGATCCCACTGTTCTGGTTGCTGAAGTGAGTAGCCATGGAAGCCATAAATGCGACCTGCAAAAACGCAGTTCTTATTCAGGCAGTCGTTCACAAAGTGCACATGTGTAGAGGAATCAGCTACAGAATTTTTTCCTGTATTTGCAGTCTGTTTATCTTCCTGACAGAGATGTTCTTCTAGGGCCTGCTCCAAGGCCACTAAACTCCAGTAACAAAACTCCCATTGAACGAAACTGGAAGAGGACTAGGCTTCTTACATTCAATTGGACTATTCATGACTGTAAAAGTAAGCGTATGCACAAGTGTTTGCAGGTCAGGACCTTCATTTGGGATTTTATTTACTTTTAAGTCTCTCTAGAATGATGCAACAGAAAAGTGGTATTGAAATGGATGGTGTTTCTGACAAAACTGATTTAACTAGTTTTTATATATTCCCCAATGCATTTAGATGGGATGTTGCTTTTAACTGAATGTGTGAAATAAATAATGCTCAGTAAAATTCATACACGTTAGTGTTCCTTGCTAACTACCTTCAGAGATACATTAAGCATTTTTATTAGAGGTCCTCTGGAAGTGCAGTTGCTGGGACTCAACATTCAGTGCTTTTTCTTTCTTACCGGTTGCCCTGTACCCTCAGTCACAACAACAGAGGGTGGTGGAGACCAAAAGAGGAAACTAAGAAAGTGAAAACCGTGCTTCAACGTCATGTTAGACTTCTTGCAGTGAGATGTATTGGCTGTGGAAAATGTTTTATAGGAAGCAGTGCAAAACCTCTCACATTGGACAATTCAAATTACCCTCAGCAAGATACCAGGGAACGACCCTGCCAACTTGCATGGGCAGGGAAGTGGGTTATCTCTTCTGTGAGTCTGCAATCGCCCCACCTGACTGTCAGTAAACATGGTACAGGCAGAATTGCTGCACCTGGATGCCAGAAGGTCACATAGTGACTTGGCATTTTATCTCTATCTCTTAACTTCTTAGATGAGAAGTGTTCAATTACAGTTATTACTGCTGCTCACAAAAATTACATTTTTCGTGAGATTCCAGCTATACTGGCATTAAAAAAAAAAAAAAAAACAAAAACCCACACCCCAGACTTCTTTTGATTTCAGATCCAAATGAGAACAAAACCAAAACAGGCAAAATCAAATGCAAGTCCGGATCCAACAATGGAAATCATTAGCCATCTGCTCAGAAATTTGAGAAGCTCCAGATGTAAGCTGAAAGCTTGGACTGATTTTCCTTATCCCTGCATGGGTGCATTTTCTATGACGGCAAATTGTTAACTTCTTGCTTCTCAGCCAGGATCACATCAAAGTTCATCATGTGTTAAAGCAAAGCAGCTGCAATGGCAGCTTGAAGGAATTTATTGCTTTTTTGTCTAGATTCCATTTCACATTCTCTTTGACCCCAAGCTACTTCTCTTGGGTGGATCAGAAGAGTTGAAAAAGATGCTCTTTCTCCCCAGGTCTCATTTTGAAGCAGCAGATCAAACATGGACATGCCAAGTCTTTCATAATAATCTCGTACTTAAAACAGTATTGTATTCAAAAGTGTTTTCTCCTCTACCTACCCCTGCTCTAAAATTCTTAAGTGTGAAGTTAAAAAGAAATTATACGCTATACTGTGTAAAGAATTTTTGAACACAGCTGTTAAAAAACAGTGGTGGGATTTTACTTGGAAGTAGGTATTGCAATATGAATTTTTGTTATTCATCCTCTTTCATTATTCAGTTTTTAATTAACTTACTACCACTATCTTTATGTAAGAATAAAATGCTGATAGCTCATTTTAAAATTGCAAAAGGCTTTATGTTGAATGTAATTACAACAAATATGTTTTTAAGATTGTCCTGGTTTCAGCTGGGATAGAGTTAATTTTCTTCTTAGTAGCTGGTATAGTGCTGTGTTTTGGATTTAGTATGAAAATAATGTAGATAACACACTGATGTTTGAGGTGTTGCAAAGGTGGGGACACACCAGAAGGA